TATCTGACTGAACTTGTGATGATAGTGGGGATTGGCTGTTCGTGTTAACTGACGGAAATGGCGAATTGAATAACTGATCAACATCGAACAAATCAGAGGAGAAAGAAAGAGAAGAAATATCTCCTGATTCAGTCTTCCTCTTTCTTCCTCTTCTTTTGCTTGTTGTCTCTATCATATTAGGGGACATCTCTAATCTGTCGAACGCTGTGTTGTTCTTGGGATGCTGTTTTTGACGTGTGGATGTTTTTAGTTGTTTTGGATACTGGGAAGGTGGAATATCAAAATCATCCGACTCGTATATATCTGACAACAAATCTGATATATTGGCGGCACACAATATGTCTCTATGTTCGCTGCTTTTTGATTGACTAACCGATTTATTCGTTTTCATTTCTTTAGTTTTGCCATTGTCAGATAAAGTTCGTTTCTTTGGTGTTTCACTCATTTTACTTTGAGATGTATCATAAAGATTATGTTCTATATGTACTGACTTCTTCGTTCTACTACACCTCAACGAATGCGAATTTGAAGTAAGCAATCTCGACAGCGTCATATTTTGAAACGGCACTTTGTTCTCAAATCCGGAGTGACGGCTTGCCAAACAAGTTTGAGACATCGGCGCAACGTCAGTCTCACGCTCATTGTGTTTTAATTTCAGCAGGGCAAAATAATTTTTTTGGTTTTTATACAAACATAGATCCAAAAAGTCCAGTCTATTGACCGAATTTAATTTATCGTCGATTCCCTGCTCGAAAAGCAACGGATCTGCGAAGAGTTGTGAAGTTGTTTGCGTCTGTATTGAACAATTTTCAGTTTGTGATGATGCATCTGATGTCGTGTTACAGTGCATGTAAACATTAGTGCAGCCATCTAACTTGTCAGCATCATTAGTTTCTTCACGCCTATCATAATTGTTATAGTAGTTGTTGTTTATGAATTCAACACATGATGCATCACTAAGGTCATATGCAAGCATTTCCTGATTACAGTTCACAGCATCGTCATTGTATTCATTCCTGTAGTCACATGATTCGACAACGAACATGTAATTTTCGGGCAAGTCTTCCTCACGTTCCTGATCCATGCAATCATCTGATGTCATTGACGATGGATCAGACTTGCAAGGTGATGTTACTTCATTTCCGAATGGAGAGGTACAAACATCAACTTTATCATGCCTCCCTGCAGCACTGCAATACTCGTCATCCTGTTCGCTCACCTTCTTCTTCTTAACAGGTGTGCTATTTTGTTTATTTCTCCGATCCATTTTTATATCTTTTCTTTTTTCATTTGTGTCACTGGCTTCGTCGGCATGAATGTATTTATTAGCATGACGGTTGTTAACTTTTTCAGACGAAATGAGAAGTTTCGTGAATGATGGAGGACTGGCGGAAGTGTTGTTCACGTTTTCATTTTGATGTTGTTCTTTATCATCAACGTTGTTGGGATCAGCAACAGCATCGGCAACACTTCCCATCATTACAGCTGCACAGCAATCTTCATAACTTTCAACAAATTTCAGTTTTTCATTATTGTCTTTGTTTTTCAAAGATAACTTATTCCCCTTGCTTTTATGCTTTGAAAGTTGTTTGCTATCATTTGTAGCCACAATATCCCCTGCGCTCATGTTAGCGATGTGTTCTTGTGCTGTTGTGCCATCTTCACATATGCCACTATTGGCAGACTTATTCAAAATAGAATCCTCAAACGATCTTGAGTCATGCACAAGCTGACTGCTGATGTGTTGTTGTGTGATGCTGTCAAGGTTGCTATCATTTTTCAGAATGTCGCTAGAGTGAGTTTTGATGTCATTGTTAGTGTTGATGTCGTTGTTAAGGTTGTTGTTGTCGTTAATGTTGTTGTTGTTAGTGCTGATGATGTTTTTTATGTTGATGTTGTTGGTGTCGTCAATCGTTTCGTCGTTGTCGTTCAAGTTGATGCTGCAAATGTTGCCATTCATGTTGATGTTGTTGTTAAAATTGAGGTTGTCATTCATGTTGGTGTTACCGTCAATGTAGTTGTTGATGTTGTCATTCATGTTGATGTTGTTGGTGTCATCACCTTTAATGTTAATGTCGTCAAGTAAATTGATGTTGCCATTAATGCTGTTGTCGTTCATGTTGACTTCATTATCAACAATGTTTTTGTTGACGTTGTTGCATATGATATTGATGTCGTCAATGGTTTTGTTGTTTGAGCTGCCGTTGCAATTAATGTTTTCACTTGCAAGGTGAGGTCGTAGAGGTCCTTTGTTGGGAATGAGGTGTGTGTTGATGTCAGGACTATTGTCAGAATCAGAAGCTTCATCAAAACTGGTTAAATCAATGAGACTATTATTGTCGCAGAGCTTTTGTTGTGCATTATTTACATCTTCATTGATGGAGATAATATTAACTCCAACATCATCATCATCAATACTCCCCTTCTTATCACTATCATCATTCTTGCCACCATCATCATTTTCATCACTACCATCAGTATCACCACTGCCGTTATCATCATCATTATCATCATTTAATGAGTTCGTCTCCATGGTATTGAGTTGGTCTGCCTTATTTCGATCCTCATTATCAGTGACATCATCGTCATCATCGTCGTCGTCGTCTTCATTCATCACTTTGTTTCTTTTTCCATTGGCTCCCTGAAAGAACATAAGTAGAAATGATGATCATGGTGAATAATGTAAGGAAGATTTTGTTTCAACACGATAACGACTCAGCTCTGGAATCAATTATGAACATCGACATAATTTCAATTTTTGACTGCAACCTAGCAAGGAGCAACTACTTCTCCTATCTACTCTCTTTTTTGCCACGTTACGAGTTAATATCTACTTTTATAAATCGTAGGTAGAAATTGGCAGCAGTCAAACACCTCAGTAGAAATTATGTATTATAACAATAATCTGCGTTATGTAAATTTATAATAAAATCAAAAAAGTTAGACCACTGCTGAGGCTTGGAAACTTACGAGATGTTCAGTAACGACCGACAAATTAAATGAAAGCTACACACACACACACACACACACACACATACACACACACACACACACACACAAAGGACAAAAGAGCAGGAGAAAGTTTGAGAGCAATGATTTTTGTTGTGTGGTGACTTTGTAATGTAAAATATGTAGATTAATGTACAAAATGTTTCATTCGCTCATTTCAGTTTGGGTTATTTTCAAGACGGCATCGTCACAAGGATAAAAGTCAAACATTATTTCATTTGAAAGGCTTTAAACCGTAACAATATTGGTGATGCTAAGAGTTGTTATATTAATACAATTCACTCACAATGCACGAGTGGATGTGCAATCATAATTAATTCATTATTTTATAAATAATTATATATTGATAAGTACTACACTCAAAATAGAACAACCTTGGAAACATTGCCATCATGGTCACGATCATCGCCATCTTCTTCCTCATCATCTTCGTCATAATCATCCTTTGATCTCCTTATTATGACGAATGAGTAACTCATTATTTTCTTCTGATCAAGCAGCTTAACTGGAACTGGCTGGAACAATTTTTTTGAAAAACTAATCCAAGCAATATTGTATAACAAGTTGATGATGAGAGTTAATAATTTTCATCATCACCATTCATATCAGCACCATCACAACACATTGCGATCATCATCGTGGACATCACAATTAGCATTATTGTATATAATCATTATCATCATCATTGTATACAATCATCATCATCATTGTATATATTCATCATCAAAATCATTGTATATGATGATGATCATCATCGTTGTATATGATGATGATCATCATCATTGTATATAATCATCACCATCATCATTGTATATGACCAACATCATCATCATAACACTATCTTCATAGTCATCAACAATGTGATTTTCATCATTAACATCACAATCTTAACTTTTCAGCAATCATACAGTTACC